AGCATGCAATGCACATTTACATGATTTTCATATTTTTAGTCTGCAAAATATATTCATGCAATTTTTTATGTCATTCCAATTCAGTTTTTGTCATAAATTCCAACGATCACCTGCTGCAGAACTCTTGTCTTGAAGCACATCTAATAATTTCTGGCTTAAAATTCCGTACATGTATCTCGAAATGCCTAAATAATTCCATCAACACGTTCCAACATAAAAAAAATGAAATACTGGCTACGGTTTCAGATTATCTTGGTTTCAGGTTTCAGTCTTTAAGTCTTTCAGTCTTTTAGTCTTTCACTTCACAAAGCCAAGGGAAATTCTGCTTTTTTGTTGCTAAGCCATTACAGAATATGTAATTTTTACAATTAACAAAAAAAGTAAAAATATTTACTTACATGGAAATGCTTCATAATTTGAAATTGCACTTAATATTCCTATGCGATACTAGAGAATTACTTTTACTTAGAAGTGTTTCTAAAGGAAAAGGAAGAGAATTTTTATTTCATCCTCTTCATTGTTTTTTAACATAGACAGTTACTGCATTTTTTTAATATAATATATATTAATAAATAAATTATAAAATTTAATAAAGGATATATTTTATATTGGATTTATTATTATACATACAATATTTCAAGGTATATTATACGGGTAGAATTAAGGTTAAGGAATAAAAATAGATCTTTTACAATTTTTACCATAAGCAACTTTCCTTCTTTCGCGCTTTGAGGAAATGATGGAAAGAGTATATATCCTACCAGATATACATATATTTGCGTAGAAGGTGCATAAAGCAATAGATTTGTAGGAGGACTTCAACCCCTTTAACTTCTGCATTCGGAATATTTGCTTATTCCTTTCCAAATTTACAAACCCCGTTTTAGAGATAAATTATTAAAAAAATATTTTTTAGATTCACTGTTTCTGTTTCAAGAATATAACTCTTTATGTACTTCTCGGTATATTTATATCTTGCACTAGTAAATTATTATTAATTGAACTAATCAAACATAACTTTGCAATAATTCCCGAATCTATAAATAAAGTATCTATAAATAAAATAATATATATATATAAATGATCATATATGATATTGTGTTATTATTAAGAAAGGTATTGTATATAAATCAACACACAATATAGCCAAATGAACTGAGACGCCCTCTCTGGCTTTCCAAAAGATACAATGAGACACAGGCATAGAATATTAGAAGAAGTTTTTAAATTTTAATATGCAACGTAGGGTATTAGTACACAAACGGCATTCAAGGCCTGCCCTTAGGTTAACAGTTAATAATAATTAAATGTATAAAAAGTTCGCGACAAGCTGAAACCTGGTAAAGGGTTGTAAATTACAACAATTTATTAGCATAGAAAAAAAAACCAACAATGACCTATCAGTTAGAAGAAAAAAAGTATTAAAAAGGTATTATTCTGGATGTGGTAACAGATAATATAAAATCGGTTAAGATGAACCAAGACCTGTTCATCGCAAGTGGGAAGCACATCCATAAGAAAGTTGTGTGACTATGGAACAGAATAATAGATTATTACAAATCAAGTATTTTCTGCTACTACTATATCGAATGTTATCGCGTTTTGTAAAGTTTAAATATTGTTTTTGACATTGAATTACAAATGAAATTTTAAATATTTTGAATCACTTAGAAAATAATAATCTTTTATTAATATTAATTTAAATGAAAATCAAATAATTACAGTTTCGTTGTTGTAATGAAAAAAAATCAATTATTTATTATAACAAAATTATATTTCGGAAACTGTTATTGAAAGGCAGATCTATCAATTACATGCTTTCCTAAAAATTTTGAACAATCTTTTTAAAATAAAGAAATAGCGTTTTAAAATTAAATTTATAATTGTAAATTAATTTTAAATATTTTGTGCAAATATTAAAAAATGTTAAAAATGTCGATACGATCGTATGTATCTGAAAAAAAAATTAAAATTAAAGTATATATCCGATTATTAACTCTGCTAACAGTGTTACTCACTAATATCTTGCACTGAGATTATATAGAAAACTATTTAGAATTCATTTGCTCAATTTTTGATGTTATTTCTAGCATAATTTCAGTACATTGAGATAATGACTGTTGATTTCGATTCTCAAATTCCAAAATCTGTTGCTCTAAAGTTTTTTTTGGAACAGCTTTCATCTGCCGTCGTTTACGTTTATTTTGACCACTGGTACCAGCAATCCCTAAAACATTATAACTTATGGTTAGTTATAAACATATATACAGTACACATACACTACATTATACCTTGTTCTTGCTGGATTCCCGCCTTGGATTGTAGAAATTAAAAATTATTATTAATAAAATAAAAGAAACTTCATAAATATCTTATAAAACTGTCGCTACCGCCTTAATACGCACATCATTACAAATATACTTACATCTACCACAGTTGTAGCATTTTCTTCAGTGGAAATGCTATGCTTCGCTTGGGATAATAAACTAATAGCTCTTCTCTTTTTGACAAAGTTGCCATTACTTTCTGCATCTTTCAGAGGAATAGATTCACCATTCCTTCGAAATTGGTTAACTAAAATTTGGCATATTGCATCAAATTTCTTACAGCGAATATTTTCCTTCCCATTACCGTTCTGAATTTTCTTTCTCATTTGCCTTAAAATATATATTATATTTCATTTTCATTAAACAAAATTGCACTGCAAACCTATATTTAGCCTGAATTTTGCTACGTTTAGAGAGCATTTCCTCGGGTGACACAATCACATTGAAACGGTTTTTTAGTTCCGTTGCCCAGTCTACAAAATGTTTTGGATGTTTACGATCTTTCGCTAACTTCTGACGCTCCCATATTTTAAGCATAATCTCTTGTTTTTTAGTCCAATAAAATTGCGTTTTTCCATTATCTTCTCCCGCGGTTGAAGAATTCATCAGAGCCAATTCTTTTTCACTTTCCATTGCGCTGGAATATATAAATAAAATTAATAAAGAATTCAAATAATAATGTTATAGAAGTTTATAAATTATTTTTGATATATCATCCTCACCTGATGAAAGATGCAAGAAAAATAAATGAAAATACCGCAATAACTGTGAAGTTAGGTGTGATTATTTTTATGTGGTGATTTTAAACTGACTATACACTTAACAGCTGATCGAAAAAAGCATATAAACAAGCAAACTGTAGGTCTGTTTCAGAATTTTTTTATTAAAAATCAAATAAATTTAACAACCCTATATTCTCCCAGGGGCAGTGATGACTGCTCTAAGCTGCGGAGGTGTGCGGCGCACACCCTAACATAATTAGCAAAATGTCAAATAATATATATAAATTTATTAAATATCTTTACATCGAGAATTAATTTTATTTATTACATTTCTATATATATATTTTTAAAGACTAAAGTTTTAGCAAAAGCAATTATATATAATTGTCTATGAAAACTCAATCCATATGCTTCTCTTAGCTGCTATAGTTGCCAGTTATGCTCATAAGTTTACAGCTCAAATCGTAGAACATTTCTATTATATTTCTTCTTTCGTGTGCGGAAAAGTTGGCCGCACATTCACAAATTTCTGTCGTTAGTTGAGCTTAACAGAAAAATAAACAAAATAACGTGCGTGTGCTCACGCTTGTAATATGAGAAATAGAGATTTATATAGTGGGAATTGTAATTCTATTCGAATATCAACTGCATGCATACGAATCCATCATGTTGACTCGTCAAAGTGGTTAGATGTGCGGCTAAAAAGGCTCAGTTAGACGTAACGTAAGAAATTAATTCGAAGCGAAATGCACAATTAACCAAACCTGCGTATTTAATAGGAACGAAATAAATAAAAACGGTGTAGTTTGTTTATTTCGTTTCTATCAAACACACAAGTTTGGTTCGTTGTGCATTTCGCTTTGAATTAATTTCTTACAAAAACAAAAAAAAATAAATAACCAAATTCTAGACATATAATAACTAATAGCAATTTTATTTAGTAATAATAATTTTATACGTAGGGCTTCATTTAGGACTCTAAGCAAAATATACTGATTTCTGAATGAAGGAAGAGCGAAAGTAATTCATTTAAAACATAACCAATACTCGGTGATAAGTGACATAAAAATGCGAAAAGTATTATTTAGTAGTACTTTTGTTTAGATAATTTTAGTATATATTATTCCTGTGAGATTTTGCATACTATGTGTAGATTTTTTTAATACAGATTTAGAATGTTTATCTAAAAGATATAAATTCATTGAATAAGATGGAATAATAGAATTCTGTATTGAGATCTCAGATAGCACTTAGTACATATAACATATAAAACTATGAACAAAAATAACACAATATAAATGTCTAAGCTACAATCGTTTTATTTTTGAAGATTAATTTTGATGCATGAATTTTTAATGCTTGCTGTACTTGATGAATTGCGCAGATTAAAAGTTTGTATACATCAACTCTTTTTGGTTGTGTGTGTGTGTGTGTAGAAACGCAAAAAAAAAACATTTTGAGAAGAAATTTAAAATTTATTTTGGAATTCACAAATTCCATATAAATGTTTTATTTTTACTATGTACTGTTTCATATTGGCATTAGGAATAAAATGCCCACTTGGAAGATACCAAAAAATTATAGAAGAAAAATAATGCATTTTAATTGCTTTCATCATTTTTTCAACAGTATCAAAGTATGATCAAAATTTCAATCCCTAAAATGTATTAAAACTGTTGTAAAAAATAATTTAAATCTTCAATTTTACTTAAGTGTGGTATGAGCCGATGGAAATTAATTCTAAAGAATTACTCAACTTACTTTTATATATAAGGTGCGTTTTTTACCAAGTAAATTCTTCTACGAATTGATCACGTAGCTTTTAATAGGACTACAAACTTATCAATTATGCTCCAATATATTTGTACTAGGTTAGGGCTTTGGGGGTCTATGCGTCACATCTTGGTGCCCCAGTCAGTGTTCACCTAATCTAACTTAACCTACGTTTTATTTGAATTATCATTTATGACACTTATAAATGCTTAACTCTAATTGCTATAGTGATGTGATTACCAATTTTTTTTTATGTCAGATTGAAGATATGGATGTGTAAGACATCCACACAACTTTAGAGCAGCAACAAATTATGTTCTGTTTTGGCTATGTACTTTCACGTTTTGCTCTTCAAATTCTTGTTGTTGGATTAGGCTAAATATTCTGTTTTTTCGGATAAGCCCTTAAATTTTCGGCGCTTTAAGAACGAACGTTTGTCAAGTGATGACAGAGCTTTTTTAAGCTGTGTGTCCAGTAAGCATCGATCAAATACTGTGAAATGCTGCAGAGAGAATATTTAAATACTTTTTTATTTCACCCCTTAGATTACTTTAATATATTGAAATATAAATTTGATACAATTGTTAATAACTTGTGTACATTTATATATTTTCAGAACTACATTATCTTCATTAAGGCTGAGTTCACTTTAAACAAAAAAGGTTTAAGTCTGTTTTATATCTGCATCTCTGTATAACCGATAAATGCCGCCACAGCATCGAATACATTCTTAACCATTTGCACATGTTGTACAAAATATCTTCTTGCGATCCGTCTTTCGAAGGCTTTCATTGCAACTATGTGATGGCATATTTCTTCTGGATCTAATTATACAAGGGCTTTTAAACTATTTGGTTACACTGTACTACAGATCTTTTGCAAAACTCTGATAGATTTGATAGATCTGATAGATTTAATCTGATACGAATGTCTTATAATTCGCGTTAATGATTTTGTGTTGGATAGATAAGGAAAGGTCGTCGATATATAAGCTAAATTAAATAAAATTTTATTAAATCAACCCACTAGTTTTTTTTTTAATTAGTTTTATTGTGTAGAATATTAAAACAATAAATAAAAGAAACAAAAAGGAATTCGTTATTAAGTAACTCATAAACGATTTAAATTTAATCATATTTAAGCGATTTTTAGCAACATTAAATAGAGTAATCAACAATTTAATAATAATTTAATAATTTTTGGAATAATTTAAGTCCAAAGATCGCAAGGCTGTTGGTCCTTTAGCGGCGTATTGGCTCAGTTGTTACTAGTATATGTGCCTCAGCATTTATGTGGCAACTAAGCCTCTCTTGGTTAAATGGCTTTAGCGTAAATTTCTTCCTTTACTATTGATACCCCGAGGTCTCGATACAAGTCAGAATCACGCACCATGGCGCGTATGTTCCACTCCGTGGTAAAAAATTTTAATATGTTTAAATGCTGAACATTTTTGTTCTGCTTGCAAAACCCCACATCTGGATTCCATATGTCCAGATTGGCTGCAGCATTTATTTGTATATTACAAGTTAATTAAAGAGCGATAATTTTGCTTTTCTGTCAATCAGTCATTTCAACAATTTAAATTTTAAATCTAATTCGATTCTTCTATTGATGTCCTTGCTCCATTTTAGTTTTGCGTCTAATATCATACCCAAGTATTTCGCAGTATTCGAATGAGGCATTTGTGGTTCATCGATGTGAAAGGGTATATAACTGACGTTTTCATTTGTGAAATTTAAATGCACTGAATTTTCTTTATTCAGGTTGATTTTTCATTCCATTGTCCAAGAATTATATTGTCAGTACTATTTTATAGATGATTAGCTACTATTATTACGTTTTCTCCAACTGTAAGAACAGCTGTATTATCAGCAAAATTTGCTTTGAACGTCGTTATACTCGTTGATAGGTAATACATATAAATCAGATATTAGAGAAGACCCAAGACACATATAAAGTTTTGAAGCAACGTTTACGATTGCTCTTTTTTAATCCCTCTTTTCTGATGACTGGTTTCCCTAATACAACCTTTATTATTCCCTTAAGATTCAACAGTAGTTGGTTTAAATC